CCAAAAACATCAATATTCGTGGTTTCAGACTAGTACCAACTTCGAGGGACTTTTCACTAGAATGTGTCATTAATTCCTCTTTGAAGATTATAATATATTGAAATTTGCAGCGTGACAGCTATCTAGCAAGGCCCACTTGTTGCTTAGAAGATGCACCTTGAGCGGGCATGTCATCTAACTGTATGTCGCCCACAACCCAGTCCTTAACATCTCTTGACGTGACTTTACCACTGCGTTCGACGCAAACATCTCGCTGGACATGAATGCCATTCTCGGAGTGAATACCGCCTTCGTTCTTTGCAGCGCCATTGCCATTCACGTACAACCCATCAGTAGAGCCCTGCAGGCTATTGCTGTCTTCAAGGCGCTCGAACGAGCCGTCAAGATCATCCTGTTCTTTCGATCGCTTCATATGACCGCCGCGGTTGGAAATTTTGCCAATTGTGACGAGAGTGTTGAAGTTTTTAGAGGCCGAGGACTTCCCCTGTCCGTCAGGCCCCTTCTTCCTGGCTGAGCGGGAGCCATACCGTTCCCCCGAACTAACGACGCTAACAACTCCACCAAGCCAACGCCGGAAAAGCGGTGCGCATGGCGGGAGACAGGCTCCAATTATAGCTAGGCAAGTCTCCACGGCGGATGCAGCGTGAGGTATAATGACCGTTTGACTAATGTTGTTTCCAGTGGTCCCTTGGCCAGGACGATAGATGGCGAATAGAATGAGACGTGCGACGGATGCGAGCACGACGCTGTTCGAACAAATCGTGTTGGTCATTGTCGCTTTGTGGCTTCACGGCGAGGGTTGAGTCAACTTACCTGCCTCCTAAGAGAAAGACACCACTGATGGCAAGCTTTTTCTCCCTCCCCATTTGTAGTGCCCAGACTTCGCGAATGGGGAGCACGACCGTAAGGATGTCAAAGATAATGTTCGGAACTGTGATTCCGATGAAGAAATTGCTCGAGTTGATACATGTCCCAGGGATGGTTCGATCCCAAAACCGAGGGATCGGGGTACAAGAAAAGACTATGCAGCGGCGTCAATACCAAATCGCTCTGACTCGTCCATGCCTCATTGTGAGCTCGACTTACTGCTGACCATAATAACGGCAATACACCATCCAACAAGCATGGCAGTGATAGCCCAGATACTATACCGAAGCATTTTGGATGCGGAGAAGATCCTGTAGAACATCGCTAGGACTGCCATCTTGGACAGCGGACATGCAATAGCATATTGAATTTCCAAGACGAGGATACACTATGAAATTGTAAGTCAATATTCAGCAGTTGGCGCACATTCGTGGGAAAGCTTTGTGGTAGCTACATGTCCTCATTGTTCTCTCAAAGAGCGATATGACATACCTTCAAGAATGCTGAAACACCACCTGGATATAATTCGACTATTTGATTGACATCTGTTCCGAGACCGTACTCTACCGCTGCGAAGCTTTGTCAGTACAATGGTGCAATGATTGGGCAGGCGCAGAGGACTATGGGCCGTGATAGTAGGATTTGCGCGTGAACTGCAAAAACAATAACTTACAGATCCCTTCAGTAATCAGCATTATGTGATTGGCAATCTGTATATTTCATCTGTCAGCGACAGAACGCTCTCAACGCTACAAGTGCTTTGGTATACGGGCCCTCTCACCAGTGCTACGATGGCGACATGTTCGTCGAAAGTCCATGGCGACTTGGCTACAACTCTCGTGACATAGAGTCGCATGCCAACCAAGACGGTTGCTAGAACACTGAAAACAGCATGAGGCACAATTAGAACCCTTGCAATATTTTCTGCAGAAGAATATGTGACGTCCGACATATCGTGCTTTGTGACGGGCCTAGCACAACTTGTCTGTCGGGAAGGGAGTTTGCCGAATGCCAGCGGGAAGCACTGTCAAGGAGCGGTGAGAACTTTGTAAGTAAAAATGATATAAACGTATCATTAGCACAGATTGAAATTGAAAACTAATCGGAAAAGGACCTTTCTTTTGCTGAACTGCGCTGTTAGCGAGTATAATTCCGAAATCATACCGGTGTTGCGCGCGGAGCTGCGCCGTTCGATCCGGTACCTGGGACCCATGTCTTTCACCCTTGACTCCATTCGTCACGATGCCGCGATCCGTGGGCCGCACCACAATAAATCTTCACGATGCCGCATGTAATCGTTCATCCCGAGTCAAGCAAACTCTCTTTCTCAAAGCTCGGAACAGCAAATGCTATCTTTTCAGGAATTTTACCCACAACTTCTGGCGTTGCCAGAGTTATTATCTATCTGGCCGGTCCCTAGAATCTCGGTGTTTCCTGATTGATTAACAGATCTCATCTAAGTGGTCGCGAACCAGAGCTAGAGGAACACATCAAAGATGAGGCTATTGGTCGTTTAAAAACACCTAGTTGAAAGCGGTCCCTTATCAATGGTTGGGCGTAGTTTCTCGCGTTATCCCCATAATTGAAGGCGGTCGCTACTGCGGTTTCGCCCATTTGAAGAAATGCCACATTGCAACGGATCATTAAGCGACTCTCCTGTCCCACCACGTCTACAAGGTTAAGACTAATGGAAGTTTGGGACCCGTCCATAAGATGATCAACATTTCCCTCGCATCTCAATCTTGAGTCAGATTTGTCTGCCCGAGCAACAAGACCGAACACTTGCAGGAACTGAATTGTAAAAGTTCCAAAGACACGTTCTCGATTCAAATCACACCAACCATCACCAAAGAAATCAACGTGGCTTGAAAGCACAATGGCAGCAGTATCACACGCATCCAGATCTTTGGGTATTATCTTTGCCCACGGGGGCTTCCACCTCCCCGCTTGTTTTGACCTCGCCAAAGTTCGGCTCGAGAAGGCCGGGTTTTCTCCAGTTGTTGCTGTCCGCCATCCCAGTGTTGGGACCGATCCTAAGATCACCGTTGACGATGATGCCCGGAACATCCAAGCCGAACTTGCTCCTTACCTGGAACAGGGCAAAGAGTTCCTTGCATTGGCGCATTCATATGGCGGAAGCCCATTGACCATCGCAGCCAAAGGCTACTCGGTCAAGGAAAGAGTAGCTCAGGGTCTCAAGGGCGGCATCCGAGCCATCGTTTTCGTTACAGCCAACATGCCCCCTAAGGCTGGCGCCAGCGCACTGAGCGTGCTTCCCCCTGGCTTGGATATTGTCGATATTGCTGATGGCCTGGTGATGGCAAACGCCAAGGCCAAGGTCGCGTTCTACGGCCCTGACATGGGCGACAAGCTAGCCGATGAGTGCATGGCGACATTGCTGCCGCAGTCACAAGAGGCTCTCTTGGGTCCGGTGTCTGTCGGTTCGGAGGAGCTAACGGTTCCCGTTTACTACATCCTTTGCGAGAAAGACCAGACCATATCTCCAGCCACACAACAGCAAATTATCTCGACGATCCCGACGCTTAAGAGAGTTCTGAGAAATCCTGGTGGACATTCGGCCTTCATCACTGAGGTGGAAAAGTTTGTTGAGCAGATCAATGAGATTGCGGATGAGGTGGAGAAAGATCTCTAAAGGTTGTACTTTCAGTTGAAGATCCTTTCGACAATGCCATCCGTTGCCTAACAATGGAATGTTCCAGGGATCTGGCATCCGCTTGAAGAGTAGCAATCATATCAAATACCCCTCTTCGACTCTCGCAGTCCATTTGAGGCATCTTTAAGGCGTATGCACAAATGCGTATGGACTCTTCGCACGAAGATTGACTTAGGATGAAGACTACATGTATCTTCGAACAATCATACGCTATCACTACCTGACGATACATGCAGGCCGGTTCACAAGATTGAAGCACTAGATTCTACACAAATCATCGACTCACGAAATCAACCCTTTTTGAACGGCCTCCATGATTTTCTTGAATAATTCGTCATAGTCAGGTCCGACGGGTGTGGCCGCTTCTAGCGCCCGATGACAGTCCTCAGGCGTATATATCAACGTCTGATTGATTTACATCTTAGCCTGCTTCGCCAGCTCCCTGTCAGTCGCACGCACTTTTCTTTCCCAGCCACCCGTAATAACGGCACCCCATGCGCCAAGATCAAGAAAACAGTTACAGGAAGTGGGTGGGTAGGCGCCAAGGCTGTTGAGGTGCGTTTCGAGCTTGATTGCGCCTTCTAGCGAGTCTACATCATGCGCATGCTGCGCAAGTCCAGAGACTTGCTCTGGGCGTATGACCGAGCTTCCAGCGGTAAGAATTAGACGGTCATATGTGGTAAGATGCTCTGTGCCTGTGCTGGACCTATAAGAGACTGTAGGGGATTGGACATCGATGTCATCGATGTTGCCATGGATGAACTTGATGCCGGATGCCTTGAATAGTGGTTCGAGATCCTAGCTCATGCTTGACGAATCCTCTTCGTAGAGTCGTGATCGCATGACAAAATATGGCTGTGGAGCTATGACATTGACTTTAAATGCTTCAGTCTGGCTGTGGACGTTGATGAGACATTTGGCAGCAAGGGCACTCCAGACACCTGCGAACCCGGCCCCAATGACGACAATCCTGCCGGACATATTTGTATGAGTAACTGCTAGAAATTGAGACTTGCCGTGGACGGCTGAATTGACAAGATAGTAACTGCCATGCGAGTGAGATTGTATGGGTTATATGTATTTGTTCAATCTCAAACCTGTCGCAGTCCGCAGATTCTTAGTATGCACTGCTGCCAGCATCAAACTTCACCAACACCTCCTGTTCAATGCTAGATACGATTACTTACTATGAATATCCTTGTTCCCGCGTGCTTGTACTAACACATTATTTTCCCATCTCCTCTCAGTGGGTTCCTGTTGCGCCGTCGCTGACTTCTCTCACGCTAATCTGCTTCGCTCCACGGCTTTGTCGCGAATGTGGCGGCCGGCTTACATCGGGTAACCTATTGACTTACAACGGGTCCCCGAATACCCGAGTCCCCGCAGCCGTCAAAACGGCCGGCGGATATCCGTACTTCGTCCTAACTTCAACTTCACAGACCCGCTGACACATGCACCGATGACCGTCCCTGTCGCACCCGCTCATTCGAACGGCGCAGCATCTCGCTCCTCGCTAGCCTGTCTGCCGTGCCGCTCGAGACACTTGAAGTGCGACGGAAAACGACCTCATTGCGATAGATGTGCTACCGCCGCGAAGGACTGCCAATATGCCCCATCACGCCGGGGCGGCTTGGATCGTGTAGCGCTTGCTGAACGAAGAAAGCGCCTTGCCGTCGCAAATAGTGTCGGCAATAGCAGTTCCGAGTCACCAACGAGTCTCCCATCGCAGCAATCAACAGATTCACAGATATTCGGCCAAGACTCTCTTGCTGAGCTGAACCTTGACTTAAGTATCTTCGATGATGTTAGTCTCGAAAATCAAATTTCTACATCGGCTCCGCGCGCGAACTCGACTATACGACCAGATGATCTCGAGAACGACGCACTTATAAACGCATATTACACTAATTTCCACAAATTCCACCCATTTCTCCTACCGCAGGAGCACTTTACGAGATTTCGTCAAGATCCTAACTGGATAGAACGACTCGGACCACTGATAAGCACCATGCATCTTGTAGGACACATCTACGCTACCAGAAAATGGTCTTCAGAGCTTCAAGATGACGTCGAAAGTCGACTTTCTGAGCCAGCGCCGAACGACCCGGTCATTGTGCAATGCCGGCTACTCTACTCCATAGCCCTGTTCTGGTACAGCCACAAGACCGAGGCCAAGCGTCAGATGGACCTTGCAGTCCGTTCAGTCCTCGACCTGCAAATGTTCCAGAAGGAATTCGCAGCAACTCATGGAGCCGAGTCTCCTGTGTTGATGGAATGCTGGAGGCGGACATGGTGGATGCTGTACATCATCGATGCTTACTACGCTGGGACTCTCGGGACAATGAACTTCGCAGTCGTGGAGGTAGACTCCAGCGTAGAACTACCCTGCACGGAGTCAGAGTACGAATCTGGGGTAATTGCTATTCCTGCCCAAAATATCTCAGGGTCATTCGCACTGAACTCACAAATCAAAGGATATTCCGGAACCGCAGACTCTCGAAGAGTTCGACCTCCGCGAGTTCGCTTCGGAGGATACGTCCTATTCTTCCTTTGCATACCTCATCGGCGCTGTAAAATGCGCTGCCCTGGCAATATCTACGACACCGAAATTGGTTGCCAGAGAGGACTCTATGCGTATGATTGAAGAAGCAGACTCAATCATCGACGGCTGGTCATTACTGCTGCCAGAAGATCGTCGCCATATCATGTCCAAGACTGGAGAGATCGATGAGCTAATGTTCCAAGCTCATCTTTTGATTAACGTGTAAGGCGAAGTACTCAATCTCTTGTAGAGCATGTCTCAGCTGACACTCGTCCGATGCATCAGAGCAACCATCGGTCTACATCGACCTCTATCAGACCTGAGATTCAATACTGTAGAGGACATCTCTAGCTGTGCAAGGGAGCCTCCTCAAGAAAATCCCGAGACGGAGCTTGTCAATGTGCACACCGTCAGGGTTCTTCGGGCGGTGCAAGCACAGGTGAGGCTGTTGGCGTTACCAACCGAACGATTCCATCACACTCCATTCACCACCTGTATGGTAAGTGAAGGTACATTGGCGCTGCTATCGGCCTGCAGTTGTCTACTCAAGGGAAAAGAGCTCGCTGTCGCGCGAGATCAGATCCGGATGACGATCGGTTGCCTCAAGACCTTAGGGAAAGTGTGGCCCAGAACAGCAAAGAACGTACGGGAGATCCAGACGATTGCTCAGCATGTACTTGGACTCAAACTCAGGCTGAATGGGGAGAGGACTGCCACAGATACTGCCGGAAGTCTTGCCGTGACTGATAAAGGCGATGCGGGGAATTCGAATTCCCAGACCAGTATGTCAAGCAGCGAGAGTGAGGTGTTCGCCTCGCTGGGTACCATGGATGATGTTTGCGGCTGGTATAACATGGAGGGTATTAGTTCGCAGCTTTCACATTGGGTGCAAAGTGACATTTAGTTACGTTTAGAATGACCTCGATGAGGGCAGTGTCAAAAGGAAACTTCGCTAGAGGATTTCCATGCGAAACTTAGTGGGAGTCCTCGACCGAGAAATCAACGAAAGCATTGGGTGTCCACGTCGCACAGCTAATTGTGTAGGGGGAGACTTGGCACTCTTGAAATTGGATCTTCCATGATGCTGCTAAGTAACAAGATTCCAGTGTGTGTATATCTACTAAAACTCAACGACGACTTTATGACCTCTACCCCTCTGTTGGGCACACTCCCAAGCTTGCTTCGCCTTTGTAAAAGGGAATGACTTCACCGCCAGAGCTTTCAAGGCACCCGCTTCAACCATATCAGATGCCCTACACAACCTCTCAGCATTGGGAGATACAATAAAGTACTTGTGTCGAACTCCAGGTCGCGCAAATGACTCTTCCGGTACGGTGTCTCCGAATGCCCAAGGAGGCGGTGGATCAGCAACAGTTATGATCATCCCGTCCACCGCCACGGCCTTCCATACATCGCTCAGGATACTCCCGCCAACTGTGTCTATGACGACATCCACACCACCGGCTGTGGAGGCCCAGCCTGGGTCATTGTAGTCCAAGACTTCGGCACCTAGCTGCTTCAAGTTCTCGTGATGTCGCGGCGAAGCCAGCGCAATGACACGAGCGCCGCTAAGCTGGGCAATCAACTGAACCGCCAGGACGCCAACGGCACCAGAGGCCCCGGTGACTAGGACAGTCATATCTGTAGTAATCTTCCCATGGTCGACGACAGCCTCCCATGCCGTTAATACTGGAATCGGAAGTGCTGCGGCCTCAACATAAGAGATGCGAGTCGATTTCGGAGCAACCTCGTCTGGCAAGCATGTAACGTATTCAGCTTGGCATTGCCCACGGTCTGCTGATGTGAATGCATAGACATCTTGGCCGATGGAAAGGTTTCCGGTGTAATATGGGCCGAGTTCGGCGATAGTTCCTGATAGCTCGTGGCCGGGGATCCGGGATGCGGTTTCGTACAGCTCGGGCCAGCCGAGTTCATCGCCGGTGACCCCAGCAGCGTGCACCCGGACCAGGATTTCGGCGCCAGTAAGCGTGGGCCTTGGCATATCCGTATTGAGAGTGATTTTGGGAGAGTTTTTGTCGCTCATGATCTGGACAGCTTTCATCTTATTCGTCATTGCGCTTTCAGAGCAGGGGTTGTTGTGAGGCGAGTGAAGTGTCGCTGATGGAGGGAGGAACGAGAGGCAGGTGCGTTACGTGTGAATTGCTTTTCCGTGCTACAGAAAAGCACTTGTTATATAGCGTAAGGTAGCTTGTGCGATTGTTTTCAACTGCCAATTCGGGTACGATTCTGCTTGCTTTATCCCTTCGGCATTGGCTGATGCCCCCCCCCCCCCCCGGGAACCCGTTCGGGCGGGAATTCGTTAACGGCGCTGGCGGGTACCCGCAAGCACGTACCACCCGCCCCGGGTATCCGTGAATTCGGGTATCCACTTCCCTGACGGCGGCGACCCGGGCCGGGCTTCTGCAAAAATGGAAGAATGGGATGAGCTAGCGGGAACTTCACCCATTGTGTCCGGCGCTCGTGCTCAATTTATTTAATAAGAGTATTTTAAAACCAATCTAGTTGTTTTCACTTGAGTCGCACGATCAGGAGAAAGAAATTCAACACCATAAATAAATCATCCTATAAATCGAATCGAAGAGACCGACAGCTAGGTCAGTTAAACGATACAAAGACCTTTTACATGTGTTAATACTAACGAAATCAAGCATGACTCGACCCCGCGAAACAGTCAAAGTCCTATATGACTACAAACTAGCAAACGCTGAGGGAAAATCCATAGTTGGCCTCGAAGTAACCTACCCACCCAACGGTGCCACTCCTCCCCACCGACACGCAGGCGCCACTGTTGCGGTCCATGTCATCGAGGGCAAGCTTCTCAGTGGCATGAACGGGAATCCGCCCAAGGTATACGAGGTGGGGGAAAGCTTCATGGAGCTGCCCGGCTGTCATCACACGGTGGGAGAAAATCCTAGCAGCGAGAATCGTGCGGTGCTTGTTGCAGTCTTCGTTGTGGATACTGAGGTCTTGAAGTCGGGTTATGACGGGCTTACGGTGCTGGACGAAGGGTATTGAAATACGGTCTGGCAAGGCATAAATATCACATACAGGCTCTGATTGGGGTACTACTTCATGGCAAACCTTCCGAGAGGCATCGCTGTGCGCGGCGACAATTACGTTTCGGTGGTCATGAAACGTGAATATTAGGGGGAATAGTATACAGACCGGTGCGGATCGTAAACGCTGCAATAACTGTATCTCAAACAGCCCAGTAAATCTCAACCTTGACGCTCTCCACGTAGTTGGCCCAGCCACCGAACCTCGCCTTGCCCCATACCGTGACCACATCTCCCAGCTTCAAATTGCGCACGAACTTTCCAGTCCCTGTGCCCTTGCCCCGACCTATCTCAGCTAGCCGGTCGGCCTCGGGCGACTCCGGGTGGATGTCGTCGGTCCAAGACCATACCACCTCATGGTCCATAAAGTCCCTGTTGGCAGTCTTGTTGGTTTGTATCTTGAGGTTCTCAAGCGGGTGCATAGCATGGGAGTAGGCAAGCTTCCCGTCAGCGGTCGCTAGGACGGGAGGATATATCGACTGAAGGCCGCAGGTGCACAGGTTCGTTTCGCTGATGACGGGTGCCTCTTCGGACTCGCTATCCGAGCTTTCCGCTGCTACCTTGCAGGATCCATCGCCTGTTCGTTAGTGCTTAGCAGGGTTTCGTTCCATGAGCAGAAGGATAGCTTACAGGTACGCTCCTTGTCGAACTTCTCCAAGCCAGCCTCGAACCAGGACCAAGATCCTCGGTAGGACCCACGATCACCGTGTCCACCACCCCAACCTTGATCTTTACTCCGCAGCTTGAAGACGATCTTCCGCACCGGATGGGTCAGAGTGGGCGGCGCCTTCATGGACCCCGCAAAGTATTCTCTCGGGGCTTCGGAGACGACCTCGGTGGGGCTTGAGGTGGGTTCGAGGAGCGTCAGGTTGCGGAGCGGCTCCGTAACGGGGGACCCGTCGCCCGACTTGGGCGGTAGCGGCGCGGTCTTGAATGCCGGGCCGACCTTTTTGAAGTCGAGAAATCCGATGGGGGGACACCGCAGGATGAACTTGTTCTCGTCTCTGGTGGTGCCTACGACACGGAGGGCATCGCGGAGGGGGGTGACTGCGTGGTAGATGCTGGCTTCGGAATGCGGCCAGTATTCGGCCTGGTCGATGATGAGGTCTAGAATTTCGGGAGGGAAGTTGAAGGCCTTTTCGAGCATGACGCGGACAACGATGACATCGACGTGCGAGGGCTTGTAATTCCCGGGCTCCTGCGGGCTTAGCCCGGAGTGGTCGTCTCGGGTGTGTGATTGCATGATGCCGACGGCTCTAGCGATGATGGCACCAGCTGCTACTGTTGCAAAGGTTCCGGCGTATTGTTGGAATTGGGAGAAGAAAGACATGTACGAATACACAGGAGGGATATCTGGGGAACTCAGAAAGAGGAATGGTGGGAAGAGGGGTAAGAAGATGTGAAGGCGCCGGTTTCGTAGGGATCTCGTGGTTGTGGTACCTAAGTACGTGGGGAGGCGACGTCAGCTCATGGCAACTCCCAAGTTCATTTCGGGGTCGGTGCACGGAGGCCTGCAGCTTTAAATTGACGTCAGTGGGGATATGGATCCCATGGTGGGGTCGCGAAATGTCACTGACAGGACCCCTGCTCGATGCGATAAGCATTTCTTATCGATCAGTATCACGTGAAATTACACCATCGTTAGCCACTGACTGAAGACAATGGGTCGTCACCGGAGGAGCTCCCGCTTACAAACCGAGAGCCGATGGCGTCGGTATTTCTGTCGCAAGTGACCTGAAAGATGGTCCCGGACCTTTCATAATTCCCAATTGCCAATTTTTTGTCAGTATTTGTTGTGATGAAGTGCCAAAGAATCGCCTCGCAGGCCCTTCGCCAGGCCCGCGCACCAGCATCGCGAGTCCAAGCTCCCTCCGTTTTCCGGAGCTCCAAAGTCGCGGCGGCAGCTCCTCTTGGCAACCGACAATGCGCCTACCAGTTCCACTCCAAGCCGGCGCGGAAGGCTTCGAACAGCCCCGGCGATGCGTCGAATCCGGCAATGGCATTTCCATGCCTTGACGCTCTCGAGAACCGATCCGCGAGCCTCGAAGCACGGTACGAATCGAGCGGCCCCGAGCCGTCTTATACCGCCGGCGCGACAGAAGTATACCACTGCAAGGACCCTCTCCTGCTCGACTGGGGCGGTGTTCTACCTGAATTCGACATCGCATATGAATCGTGGGGCAAGATGAACGCCGACAAGTCCAACGTCATTCTCTTGCACACTGGCCTCTCGGCGTCGTCTCACGCGCATTCGACAGAGAGCAACCCCAACCCCGGTTGGTGGGAGAAGTTCATCGGACCGGGGTTGGCTTTAGATACCGATAAATACCACGTCATCTGCACAAACGTAATAGGAGGCTGCTACGGCTCAACAGGACCGAGCAGTATCGACCCAGCAGATGGACAGCGGTACGCGACAAGATTTCCCATCTTGACCATGGAGGACATGGTGCGCGCGCAGTTCCGCCTCCTCGACGGCCTCGGCGTAGACAAGCTCTACGCCAGCGTCGGCTCGAGCATGGGCGGTATGCAATCGCTCGGTGCAGGCGTCCTCTTCCCGGACCGCGTCGGCCGGATCGTCTCCATCAGCGGCTGCGCCCGGTCACACCCTTACAGCATCGCGATGCGCCACACGCAGCGGCAGGTGCTGATGATGGACCCGAACTGGAACAGAGGGTTCTACTACGGCAGGGTGCCGCCGCACGCGGGAATGAAGCTCGCGCGCGAGATTGCGACCGTCACGTACCGGTCGGGACCGGAGTGGGAGCAGAGGTTCGGCAGGCGGAGGGCGGACCCGAGCAAGCCCCCTGCGCTGTGCCCTGATTTCTTGATCGAGACGTACCTCGATCACGCCGGAGAAAAGTTCTGCTTGACGTACGATCCTAATAGTCTGCTCTATGTCAGCAAGGCGATGGATCTTTTCGACTTGGGGAGGGAGAACCAGCTCGCTGCCAACGCGAGGAGAGCAGAGCGCGAGAAGCTTCTGCAGTCTGGCGAGTCGCCCGCGCGCAATGATGCCGCCTGCAGTCTTACGCTGCCCGAGAAGCCCTACGTGGAGCAGCCAGAATCCAACGCCGGCACGGCCGATCAGTCCGTCGAGGTGTCCTCCAGGCCGCCTGAAGACCTCATTGCGGGCCTTGCGCCTCTGAGAGACACTCCTGCTCTCGTGATTGGTGTGGCGAGTGACATCCTCTTCCCCGCGTGGCAGCAGAGGGAAGTGGCCGAGGCATTGAAGCTCGCGGGCAATAGGAACGTTGCGCACTATGAGCTGAGCGAGGAGATGAGTTTCTTTGGACACGACACGTTCCTGTTGGATTTAAAGAACATTGGCGGGAACTTGAAAAATTTCCTGGGATAAATCAGCCAAGAGGGAGGCCAGTGGTCCAGCGAACGTGAACATGTAAAAGGTTGTTGGAGTTGAGGTAAATTTTCTGCACGAAATATGTCTATGGGGAATGTTCCACTTGCATATGTAGCCATGTACACCATCCAGGCAGGAAAAGCATTGACGATTACAAATCTTTGGACTGGTTCTCTTGGCCTCCGGGCTTCTCGTGTAGCCGACATTTGGTCTTCTCTCTCTTATTCTGCTGATGCTGCCGAGAAGCTTACCTACCTTAGGACAGACTTCGTCACAACGATACCTAAACGCACGCAAAAAAGAAGTTCACCACCGGTGTGGCTACATCTCCTGGCGATTATTATAGTGCTCATGCTGGGATCGTATGCGGACTCGAACTCGTAGCCGGTCGATTAGGCTGTCAGGGGGTATTGTCGATCTTTTAACCATTCCACCACCCAGCCAGTTTGTCCTGACCAACCGACCTAGGAAGGCGCCTGCTGTTGCTGGTGACAGGAATGAGATTGAAGGGGTATGTATAGGCTCTTTGCGCAGTTCTAGTCATCTGATGTGGAATCACCGGTCTGCCAGCGCCTTCCAGTCAAGATAATGTGACCCCCGTAAGCATGATTCAGACTCGTGGCACCATCGTTCGTTGCGCAGGGCTTCATATGAAGCAGGAATGAGCTGGACAATAGACACCTCGCTTACCTCTCTACACATCGTGGGCTAGATGCTAAAGCGGGTATTTGTCTGAAGTAAATAATGCGATGATCAAGGACCTAACAACGAGAGAACAGAGGAAAATAAAGAATTCAAACGGCGAGTGGGACCTAGCTATAGGCTTGCCAAGTGAGCATCAGATGTGCTTAACATACTAGGTACCTTAGCCTTCGTTGATCAACAACTAGCGAGCCTCCGGGTTGTGCAGGGATAAGCTCTCCACAACCCCGGTCAAAGCTCTTCCGGCAGGCACTAAGGTAAGTCGGAGGAAGCCCCGCCAATCCCCTTCATTGGTCTGACGTCAATCAATTCATCTTCGTCAACACTTCACGAGCATCTCATTGAAATGAGAGTCGCCGCGCTTCTGTTTCGCCAAAGTGGTCTCAACCCGAGATCAAAACTGAATGATTTCCGATCAACTCTCATACGACCAAGCATTCCAACTGCGCATTCAGCCATTATTACCCGAACCATGTCGACAGTCACACTGAAAGACAGCGGTATCCAGGTCGAGCTGCCTAATGGCCTGTCGGAAGACCAACTACTAGGTTTCCGACCATTTAACGTGTGAAGCTACTTCTAGTGTTCTCCCTTCAAGGACGATGAACAGCGCTGACTGTCAAACTAGGATTGGATCAAGGGCCTCAACAACTCCCTAAGCCTACAAGCCAAGAGCAAAGACCACCCATTCCACCAAGACCCCTACCGCCTACGAGGCATCACAGTTCAGGCCTTTGACATCTTTGGATCCGGCCGCGTCGGTTTCCTCAAGGTGAGGGCCGATGTCAAGAATGAGGCAGGAGAGGGTCTCCCAGCCAGCATATTCCTTCGCGGACCCAGCGTCGGCATGCTGGTGATGCTCATCCCCGATGACGCCCGGCCCGACAGCGATGAGCGCTATGTCGTGCTGACGGTGCAGCCCCGCGTGCCGGTCGGTAGTCTGTCGTTTGTTGAGTTGCCCGCCGGCATGGTCGACGACAGCGGTAGCTTCGCAGGCGCGGCGGCAAAGGAAATTCAGGAGGAGCTGGGCTTGGAGATCCACGAATCGAAACTGACGTGCCTGAGCGAGCTGGCCGGCGCGGGCGGATCATCTGGGAACGAAGCTGATGAGGGCTTAGCAGAGGCGGTGTACCCTTCTGCCGGCGGCTGTGACGAGTTCGTGACGCTGTATAGCCACGAGAAGAGGATCCCTCGCGAGCAATTGAAGGAGTGGAGCGGCAAGCTGACTGGGCTGCGGGATCACGGAGAGAAGATTACGTTGAAGCTGGTGCCGATGAAGGATCTGTGGCGGGAGGGCGCGCGGGATGCAAAGTGTCTTGCGGCTGTGGCTCTTTGGGAGGGACTCCGGCGCGAGGGCAAGCTTTGAGTTGTGGCGGCACGATGAAGGGGATAAAAAGTCTCGGGCATGCATCATCATTATAGCTTGAATTTCTTTGCTAATTCAATGCCTTCGGCAATGGTCCCCACGCGGGCATCGATGGCGTAGCCTTCCTTCTCCAGACGAAGGCACTCTGCCCAGAAGTTGGACAGCGGCACGGTGAAGACCTCGATGAATTCTCCTTCTTCCAATTCGGCCTTTGGGTTTTGGTTCTCGGGGAGGGAGGTGTCGATGGTGACGTGGATCATGCGGAGATTGGTATTGCAGAATCCGGGGTCTTGAAGGCAAATCGACGTCAGCTGCGCCTAAGCTAAGGAGAGAATTGAGTTGTTTGAGATGTTACATACCATTAAACATGATCGGCGTGGTCTCGGACACCTTGCCAACGTATCCCGTCTCCTCCTTGAGCTCGCGCACGGCAGCCTGCTCGGCCGTCTCACCCTCGTCCACGAGCCCCGCGGGAACCTCGATGCAGATCTTGTCAATCGGCGGGCGATACTGCTTCTGGAGGATGATCTCGGGGCCGGTGGGCTTCTCGAGGATGGCGACGATGCCGACGCCGTCAATCTCGCCGTTCTTTGGGCGGGTGCGGCGCTCGGCGGATTCCCAGGTGCGGGAGTTGCCGTTCTGGTCGTCGTAGTTGATCTTGATGAGCTTGATCCAGCGAGCCTCGCCCTCGCCCTGCGGTTCTATGGGTCAGACAGGGCCTACGGAATAGGAAATTTCTTGGAGTCAGTTGTGTTGGCTTACCAGAGGGCCGGTGGCGGTCACTTTGGCAGACATTGTGGACGTGTTGATGCTAACGTAAGGTATCTTAGGCTTGGAGTTGGAGGGGAGGCGTCGGAGCTTCGGCGGGATGGCGGGGTAGCTTTTGTCACTGCCGCCATGGCTGGCTGGTGCTCGCCACCCCGCGGTGGTCACCTCACTTAGTCATCACGCAGCTCTTGCCTGCGTAGCACGCGTAAGGTACCTGAGTACCCCTAGGAAGGCGGGAAGTAACCGTTATCAATCACGAACGACAGATGTTCGACCACAATCATCAAATTTGGCTTGAAACCTGTTCGCGACGTATGGTCGAATGGAGACTTCTCCAAACGATGCGCCCAGGCAGAATGTCGACCACTCATTCAGTCTCTCAGCAAGGATCCCGGAGCGTCCAACAACGGCATTAGGGACGTCTCTTCCGCCCTCTCAGACGTTTTGTCTTGCGATACGGATTGAATAAGAGCGGCCTCGGTCCGAGAACGCTGTCTTAGCCTCGCAAGGTAGCATTTTATTTCAACGTTCCTGGACGCGTCACCACGTCAGTCGCTAATAAGCTTTTGGGCACCGTCCCAAGCCTGGAGATGGCCAAGGGACCCCTGCCCATGAAGTACTCGCCGATTCGAAGTGGGAGCTTTACGGTCATTGACGTTTGGACGAACCTCCCATCCACTGATCATCGAAGAGTCCTCGGAGAAAGCTTTCCGAAAGACGCATCCGAGAGGGAGAGAACGGGGGAAACACACGAAACCGGTATCGCTTCTGGAAGGGCACGCACGACGTCAAGGTTAACCAACGAGCAAACTTGCATCTTCGGGTTTCTATTGCGCCGATGAGTGTAAGACGCACGAGGCCCTTGACGTTGCGTTCCCACCGCGACTAACTGCATGCGCTGCGGTACCCCGTACGCAGGCGAGGACGCGCCGCCTGGATTACCAACCGGTCGGATCCAGCCCAAACGACCACTACCTAGTGTCAACGCCGTACGGATACGTACTTGCGCCAGACATAACAGGCCAGCGAGGAACATCACTGCAAGTTTGGGTCCGCACACGATAACGTGCTATCATAGAACCTTCCTTGTCATGTCTATCAAATCGGAGGGGAGTCTCTGTGACGTCCAGCTGGCAGTCTGACTCGCATTTGTCGTTGGTTCAGCGTGCCCACAGGGACTGGCCAACTTGAGCTGTCCACGACCAGGGTCCAATTCCTCCGTATTACACTTAAAGGCCGCCGACTGGTTAGCCACGCGACGCTTGCATCTCATTCATCGACCTTCCTCTCCGGGAAGGATTGACCAATCCACCTCCCTCGGCACCGCGCCTGGTGGTGCTTGAGACTCTGGCTTCACCACAGACTTATACTTCTTCACACTCCCTTGAGACATCCAATTTTCTTTCTTTTGTCGGCTTCTTCGTCTTTTCTAAACACTCCTTTAGTCGTCACCGACGACATATGCTCCAAGATCAAGATGGCACCCACTAAAGCGGTTGACGACCGCAATGGCGACATCGAAAGCAGGCCTGAAGAAGAGACGCCGTTATTGTCACACGACTTGCCACCCACAGTCGCCCCAAGCCGTAGATACCAGCTAAAGGTCATTGGTCTGGCAATGACCTTTATTCTTATCGTCGAAGTTGGCGCCTATCTTCAGATCCCGCCTTCATATCAGCTCATGGAAGAAATCATCTGTCGCCAACGCTACCCCGACCACATCATCTCGGCCGAGGATGATGATGTATGCAAAGGGCCGGGTGTACAAGGCCAGCTAGCCATGATTAAAGGCTGGCAAAACTCATTCGACTGCGTCCCGTGTATGTCCCGCCCTCTAACCCCAACTGTCAGCGCCGGCTGATTATTGTATTCGCAGCATTGCTCACTGCGATTCCCTACGGAGTTATTGCAGACAAGTATGGCCGCCGACCAGTCCTATCTTTGGCCATGCTAGGTATTACGCTGGAGCTTGCCTGGATGCTGCTGCCCCGTAGGTTATGAACATACCTCTTCTACCGGTGAAATTTGCTCATTGGACAGTTCTGTGGCCCAATATTCTCCCTCTTTGGACCATGTGGTTCGGAGCAGCTTTCCAATTCATAGGTGGAGGCGCAGGCATGATTCAAGCCATGACCTGGACCATGATCTCTGACGTCGTCCCCATTTCCAGCCTGTACGATTTGTCCATTGCCGAGATCAGTCATTCAGAAGCTCACGTGTGATAGGACCGCGGTTTACTACAAGATTGGCGCAATCGCGCTTGCGGGAGAGCTTGTGGTTGCGCCTCTCAGCGCCTACCTATTGAGCAAGAACCCATGGCTACCTCTCAGCGTCGGCATGGTCCTCTTAATCATCGGCACATGCCTGCCGCCTTTCATCCCAGAAACTCTGGAGCTCCGCCGCGCCGCTGATCAAGAGGTCGAGCAGACACTCTCGCGGTCCGAGGAAGACGCGAGGGACAAGCGCACACTCAAGCAGCAGATCATCTTCGCCGTGAAGAACGACATGGGCCATGTCTACACCTTTTTGATCAAGTCCAAGAGCGTGATTTCCCTCGTCCTCGGCTTCAATCTCACAGTTATCGTAAAGTATGTCAAGATAGACATCATGTCGCAATACGTGCACAACTTGCTGGGCTGGTCTTGGGCAAAAGTAAGTCGATGTCGCGCCGTCTCAGCCACACACCACGGGGTTCGTTATCTGACAAATCGTTGCGACACGCAGGCAACGCTCTTGGGAACTGTCTCGACGGTTACAAACATGGTCATGCTGCTCGCCATTCTCCCCGCGCTGAGCTGGCTGATCACCAAGCGCACGGGAGTGCATCCTCTGGTTCGGGATCTCTGGCTCACCCGAATGAGCGGCATCCTCCTGGCTGTCGGGTGCTTCATGGTCGCCATTGCATTCGCGCCTTGGTTTCTAATTACTGGTATGTTTGCCTCCTTTACCTTGCCATCTGTATCGGGCTGGTTCCGGTCCTCAATCACCCAGATATGCTGATCTTTCACATCAGCCCTCATCATTTTCTCCATGGGCACCGTTTACACAAATATTTGCCGAGCCATCCTCAACGCCGTAGTCGAGCCGCACACGATAGGTACCCTAAACACGGCAATCACCTGGGTGGAACAAGTGAGCCTGCTGATTTCGGCTCCGGTGATTTCGGGCTTGCTGAAAGCTGGCAACTCGGCAGGAGGCATATGGCTCGGTCTGCCGTATATGGCCGCGACTGTCATGGCTATTGCTGGTACTGCGATCGCGTTTGCCTATCGTTTGCCTAGAGACAAGATTCGATAGATACCTACCTTGTTGTTGTCTATAGGGATAGACGTCAATGCACGGAATACATGTCCATTAGAATAGAGAGATGCACATACCAAATACAGTTATCCTCAATTTCTCGTCATCCTCAATTTCTCTGTTTGAAAAAGTACAACGGGTAAATCCATCGAGATGAAAAAGTTGCTGTGAGTAAAGAAGGGAGATGGCAAGATTCGAGGTCATGATCAGGTAGATGGGAATCTACACCCAATGGACATTGACTGACCATTCCAAGCTACCTGCCCGTATTCCCGGTCTTGGCCCGCGATGTCCGCCACCGCTGTAGGGCTCATCTGATAACGATAAGAGCTCCAAACGCCCGAGCACGACGCTGAGGGATGGCGGGGGTGGGGTCGCCGCATGATGTAACGGCGAAGCGAACCAACGACTTTTTTGTGAGTCGCCGGCGAGGCAGATAGCTGCCTCTTACCTACCATCCATCCACTCCAGGCTACACTCGCACATTGACCGAAACATAAACCTAGAGCTTCTTTTATAGTACGCGACAAATATCTAAGGCGCTTTTGGTGTACTCCTCTCTCTTCGACAGTAAGATAGACGGCAACTCGCACCGCACGACCTGACTTTTTCTCCCCGCCACCCCTACCCACCAACCCCGCCAACCTGCCCATCATAGGCCGCCGACGCCGCGAGAAACATCCCAAGGGCCGGCCCAACTCCAACCGGCCGCGCAAGAAGATGGGTAACGAGGAGTCGACGATGCTGGACGACAGCGTCCAGCCCAAGACGCTCGAGTCGCGCTCGCTGGAGGCCATTGCTGATTACATCAAATCCGGCGATGCGAAAAAGATTGCCGTCATGACCGGCGCCGGAATCTCCACAGCCGCTGGCAGTATGCGCCCTCCCTTGACGATTGAGACCAAGTTTGCGCAAGTTTCTAACACAATCACCACCCAGTCCCCGACTTCAGATCACCCGGCACCGGCCTCTACGCCAACTTGGCCCGCTTGAACCTCCCCTACGCCGAAGCCGTCTTCGACATCTCCTACTTCCGCAAGCATCCCGAGCCCTTCTATTACCTCGCCAAAGAGCTCTACCCGGGAAAATTCCACCCCACCGTCTCTCACGCCTTCATCGCCCTGCTCGCGAAGAAGGGTCTCCTCCAGATGAACTTTACACAAAACATTGACTGCCTCGAGAGGCGTGCCGGCGTGCCGGACGACAAGATCATCGAGGCGCACGGCAGCTTCGCCACCCAGCGCTGCATCGAGTGCAAGGACCCCTTCCCCGCCGACCGGATGGAGAAGCACGTCCAGGACGAAAACGTGCCCAAGTGCGATTCCTGCGGCGGGCTCGTGAAGCCGGATATCGTCTTCTTTGGGGAGGCGCTGCCGGAGGCGTTCCGTGATAATACACATCTGCCCGCCTTGGCTGATTTGATTGTGGTCATGGGGACGAGTCTCTCGGTCTACCCCTTTGCTGGTCTGGCCGAGGCTTCGAAATCTGGCGTGCCGCGGTTGCTGCTCAACAGGGAACGGGTGGGACAGATGGGTCGCAGGGCGGATGACGTTGTTGAATTGGGGACATGCGATGCTGGGGTTCGTAAGCTTGCTGCCTTGCTTGGCTGGGGCGACGAGCTAGAGGCGCTCTGGCGCGGTATCGTGGGCGAAAAGGAGGCCGAGAGGCAGCTTGCGTCAGCCGCTGGCGAAGGCGAGGATGATTTGGAGGAGGAGATTCGGAGAGTTACCGAGGGTGTCGACACGGCGCTCAAGCTCGACGACGACAAGGACGACGAAACGGAAGGGGATGCCACGGAGAATACCAAGGAAACGGAAGAAGTCGGCTTTCCTTTACGGCAAGACGGCGGAAGCGACACCGAGGACGCGCAGAAGAGCATCCCCGAGGGCGTCGTCCAGAGAATGTCCAAGGCAATCCAGGGGCAAGGGGGCGAGATCGGCACGGACATCAAGGACGATCGCGGCCGCGAGGGGAGAACCGTCAACGGATCTGAAGGCGCACCGCAGGACGCAAAGGACTTCCGGATCGAGGCCAAGAAGAAGATTCAGCTTGCGGCGCAGGGGGCCGCCACCCCTCTCGACGAGGTTGCCATCGTTTTCGACGCTTCTGCGCCTGTGGCTGAGATGAAACACGAGGATCCCAAGAGCGCTGAGTTGCTGAGTGGGGTTTCTCGGTATGAGGAGACGTCCGCGCCTGCTGCTGGTGTGGACAAGGAGTTGGCGGCGGGTTCGAAGGCTGAGTTGGCTTCTGCTTCTACGACGGCACAAGAAGCCTCCGGGAGTGTAGAGAAAGACGAGAAGCCTTCATCGGGCGACTCAAAGTTATGATCTTCCACCGACGATGCCTACTCCTCGCCTCCCTTGGTCATTACGATACACGGCCACAGCCGCACCTTAGATAGCGGCCAAGTCTTCTATATCTCGCTTATACCCACATCGCGGATTCGCGTTGGTTTCACTCTATGCCTCTGTCCCCAAGTGGTACATAAATATCTACATCTCGTCCCTGCTTTCATTTGTCCATTCACGTGTGCGTGATGACTACTTGTTGACGATCTTTAATTCTTAGACGTGTAAGGAAGATGTCTTGCGTTACGATTTTAAGAGAAGAAAAACAGGTAAAAAAGGCCATCGATAGGGAACCGAACAAAAGGTCAGGTTGACAGTGGCTCGACGACTTCAAGTTAGCACAAAGACTCCCCCATCATACCTCTCGGCCACCTTTCCCCGACCTTTTATCAATGGACTGGAGGTTTTCAGACCTAAGTACCTCTCACCCCATCCCAAGGAGTATTGACGACCTTAGAAGACCTTCAGATGAAAGAGTGGAGCATCATCCAGCTTGGGCCAGCAAGTAATACACAACGGCCGGTCGAATTGAGTCGCGAATTAATACTCAACTACTTGTAGGTTATTGTTGGAGGCTTGATCATGTCCGATTGAATATCCTCGTCCTGGCGAAGCTCCCACAAAGTCTTCTCATCGCCTGAGCCAACACCCCTTCCAAACTGCTATACCATCCTATTCATTCTGACGCAGCACCAATTCCCAGAAACACCACAAAGCCCCCTAGCAACAAATCCAACGAGTACAAAACTTCCCATCACGTCTCGATATCCTCCATCGGCACCTCCTCCGGCTTCTTCAAACACGGCGTCTCGTCCCACATCCCGCTATAGCACCGGAACCACCCATGCCCGCACCGCTGGTGAACAATCTTAGGCAGGAGCCGTAGGCACCGGATGTCCTGATGCGAGTAGAGGAAGTGCCCGCGCTTCGTCTCGTAGTCGAGGCAGATGGATATCAGGAGCCTTCGGGAGTGCGCGTTGCGGCAGCCCTGATTGGCGTTGATGGACTGCCGGCCGCCATTGAAGTGAAAGAAGCTGTCTTGGCGTTCGCAGGAGGCTGGGTCCCAGGAGCGGCAGCGGGTTTGGACTACGATGTAGTCGGCGGCGCAGGTTGTAAGGGTAAGGGCGAGGATGAAGGCTAGGGTGAGGCGCATTGTGGTGGTTACTGTCTTCCGTGCTTCGCGGTTTCTGCTCTGCTAGGTAAGATGGAGGGCAATGCCCTTATCTGTCTTTTACCAGTCTGTTAGGTTTCAATGTGTGCAATTTGTTGGAGATCGGGGTACTTTTGTTACTTCAGTGTGTGTTTGAGATGGAATTGTCTTATAGACGGCAAAATTTGGTCGACGATGCGACATCCGGGGGAGACGCAGTGTTGCTCCAAGAAGTCTCCATGGGTCTTTGCAGCATGTCTGGAGTGTCTCCAGAAAGTGCTTATATATATACTGCCCCACCTTGATGACCCGTTGGGTACTTCCATTTGACGTCGAAGGGTGTAAGTTTGGTGCGGCATACGATTTCAACGCCTCGAACCGTTGTGGTCTGAAAGTAGGTTATGGCGGCGTCAAATCGGGCAACGAGGACCCGGGCGCCAACACTTTTCTCACATCATGTGCCTCTAATAGAACGGTCAAGACCAATGAGTAAGTCTTGTGTCGAGAGTTAGGTCCATGATCACTTTATCCTTCCACTGCTAAGAAGGTTGATGTTGCAAGCACTGATCTGGGCCGGGATCAAACTTGAGGCAAGTATCCTATTATTGAACGCTGATGTGTTGCTGATGGTCTAATGCTATAACAAAGGATCGAAGGAGACAATGTATAAGTGATGAACGATGCTGTAATGAAAGAGAAAAAAACAGGCTATCTAGTTGTTTGAAGGTGTAGCACCAGGGAGCACCCTAACCTCAGCCCCCCGCGTCTCCAATGACTCCATCATCGGAAACTAGAAATCTTTTCCATCACCCGCGAGAGCAGCACCGACCCGCCAGCCCCATTTTCCTGGCGTAGAATGCGCGCTACCATGAAAGCAGTCACAGCAGCGACAGGAATCGTAGCGATGACGCTCGCCCTGCTCACAGTCATGGCCTTCTCCCCCACGGTCTTCTCGTCGCTGTAGAGCCACTCGTGGCCCGAAGAAGGCGGCTTCACACCCTTCAAACTCAGGCCGCCGGCAATTTGGTCGCTGTAGAAGTTGAGCCACCTGGCGAGCGGGAGGAGGGGCGCAACATATTGTTGCACCAAGCGGCCCTTCCAGGTATCCCAAGCAGACATGCGCATGGCTTCTTGGCACTGCTCGACCATGAATGCCAACCTCTCCACGCGCTGCTCTTCAACAGTCACAAACGCAGTTTCCAGACTGGACAACTTCCAGCTTGCCGCAGCAGAGACACCCTTGCCGATAATGTTCTGTTCCTGGAGGGCGTTAACCAGCGAGGCGCAGGACTCGATACAGCTGTTGCCACCCTGCCCCACGAGCGGATTGAACTTGTGTGCCGCGTCGCCGAGGATGACGATACGTCCGTAGTGCCACCGTCGCATCACAAAGTGCGGGAGGGCCGTGACGCCGCTATACTCGAGGTTCTTCAAAACCTCACGGAACCGCAGGCCGTTATCGGCGACAAGGCTGTCGACGCTGCGGCCGAACTCGCGCTTCTTGTCTTCTTCCGTGAACCGCGGGATCTCGTCGATTGGGTACGAACGTTGGCCCTCGGGCAGCGTCCAGAACCAAAAGACAAAGACCTCGCCGCTGGGGCCGCCCATACAGCCGGCCACTGTGCCGTGGCCGCTGGCGCCGACGACCTGGCCGGGGCCCACGCCGGCCGTGGGCTTGGCGGTGCCGAAGATGCAGGCGTGCTCACAGGGGATGTTTTGTCTGTCGCGGGCCGGAATGGCGCTGGAGTCGTTGTTGTCGTCCGCGTTCCTCCACATTTCCTGTCTGATTGTGCTGCGGACGCCGTCTGCGCCGACCACCAATTGCCCTTCAAAAACGGAGCCGTCTTTGGTGTAGACCAAGGCGCTGTCCTTGAGACTCTCTACTCTCTTGACTTTTTGGTTGACAAAAATTCTGCTCTTATCCTTCAAGTGCTCGTACAACACGTTCAAAAGCTCGAAACGCTCCATGAAGATGTTCGGGTAGCCGTGTCGTTTAGTGATGAGGCTCCTCGACTTGCGGGTCATGATGCGCTTGCCGGTGATGCTGTTTCTTACAATATGCTCCTCAACGGGCTGACCTCTGGCGAGAATGTCATCGTAGCATCCGAGTTGATCGAGGATTCGAAGGCCGTTGGGAAACAAGCCGATACTAGCTCCGACGTTGGGAGTTACCGTGCCGTAAGCCTCGAGAAGTACATAGTCAACTCCGAGATTCTGTAGCATCAACGCCATCGTCAGGCCCGTGATGCCACCGCCGACGATGACGACCTGGCGTTTCTCATCTTGGATCGCCATGGTTATGATATGGAGGAAACTTGACACTTTGTTGTAGGTGTTAGGAAGGGTATACTTGTTATTCGATGCTGCTGATGACCAGAATAAAGCTCCCGATACCGAACGAGTGGAGGAAAATGAAGCTCTTATATATCAAGTTATCTGCCAAGCTGAGATCTGCGATATCATGCTGAGCCGAACTTTAGAGCTGTGCAGTCCGTCGTTTTACCGCAAGAATCCAGATGGGTATCATTGAAGCGGGAAGCTCACGGGCCCCGGAGATGAATCTTCCCTGGGCTTGCAAGCCAGCGGGTGTGATGCCACGCAGCTAGGCCCACCAAGCGCTTACAATAAACTCCATAGTAGCCACCGAGTTCGCCACAGATTGGTTCGTGACATCGACGTTATCTGATTCATGTAGCGGGGATAGCAGCACAGGACACCATGGGCTGTTTTATCACCAGTTCCACTTGTTTCGACAAAAGCCAGCCCGCAATTTGGCGCATCCGGATACAACCCACCTCAAGGACGCAGGACTGCAGACTGCGAAATGCGGCATACCGGCGATATCGCCATGGAATGCGTGGTCCTCAACTCTGGCGGCCGAGCTTTTCATCATCGGGCACTGAGACACCCCATATGTTATAGTTTAAGGGCCGTCTGTGGTCCGCTGTCAACCTATCCTTCGACTCCTCCATCTCTGAAGGATGTGGGTTTCCCCCGTGTGAAGCGGGATATATCCGCGATCAAGGCAGGGTTGACGTTTCCCCTGAGATGCGGGTCTTTCAGACTTCGACCGTGCATCTTTGCCTCGGACTAAGCGTTCTAGATAAAAATCCGAAAAGCAATTGAAAGTCTCCGAGGACAAGCGCATTCCCACTTTGAAGAGGCTTCTGGCAGTTATCCTTCTGTCACTTACATAGATATAGTTCACATAATAAGCCGATGTCAGGAGTCGCGTAGCACTTCTTCAGCCAAAATTATAAACCATTTAAGTGCCTCGTTCCGACAGAGACTCAGGAAACCTCACCTAATCCTTGAGACAACCACAACTTCGACCCGAATAATGGGAGAAAAGCTGCCTCATTATCACATGAGATGGCACTGACGAACCTTTAAGCAATGCTAATGTGTAGATACGACCGAGTCTTGAGGAAGTATTAACGTGGCTTCAAACTTTCGTGCTTTTATATATTAGTCAACAACTCCGTAGGCCAATCCTCACAGGGAATCCATCTGCCGGATGTGCCCCGCCCCCGCCCTTCACTGCTTGATACGCCCTTTTACCTTTGACGCTGCGAATACCGGATTTAGGATGAAGCTTATCCCAGTATTCGTACGCAGGCTTGATGACAAACTCTCTCACAGTCATAACCAGCGCGATTCTCAACTCGAGCATCGCCAACGTCTGCCCGATGCAGTTCCGTGAACCCCACTCAAATGGCCGCCAGGCGCCCTTATGGGGATATAATGGGTCTTCCGGGCCAACGAGCCAACGCTCAGGAATGCAAGCATCAGGATCTTTCCAGTACTTGGAGTTGTGATGTATAGCCTGCACAAGAGTCCAGACATTGCAACCTTCTGTGGGGAGTACGCGGCCGTCCGCGTCGACTATCTGGACGTCGGAACGTCCTTGACGCATAGCACCGGCCGGGGCAAATATGCGTAGAACCTCTTTGATGAACGCCACGGTGTAGGGTATCATGTTAAGAAGTTGAGGGTCCTTATGAATCTTATCCTGAACCTGTGATGGGTCCGTTCCAAAGACTTCGTTATGTTCTGCTATGGTGCGAGATATGATCTCCGGGTTCTGGGAGAGGAGATAATAGCAGTACAACAGTGTGCTGCTAGTCGTATCATGACCTGCAAACAGAAAAAGTCGTACCTGGGGTGTAATGATATGTTTGATCTTCTGCGTGGTGTCCGGATTCTCTCTCTTGCCTAGATTTTCCTCTCCCAATTCCTTAAGATAATCATCGATGAAAAGCGAAGCTATCGACTTCGAGCGCGTTGTGTCGTTTGAGTTGGACAGATTTGCAGAACGCTCCGCAAGTCTCTTATCGATCTCCGCAGATAGATACCGATCCAACTTCTTCCCGTTGAGCCAGAGAACGAGCGGACGAATTGTGAGATATCTTTCTAAAGGGTTCAGCGGCTCGCGGAAGGAAGTCCATTCTATCTGCTTTCGAAGAGCAGCTGCTAAAGGGTGATCCCGCGTCTGATGACCAAGTCGAGTATCTCTGTCACCGCATAAGTAAGCATGCTGCATAGAGTTTCCTACCTAACCTCGGATGAAAGGTCACGATACTTACAGCACAACAGACCCGATTATATCGAAGGTCATCTTCAGGGTCAGATCCTCGAGTAAGAACACTTCGCTCTGTCCTGTTGTGCATTTGGCCAGAAGTTTCTGGCGAAAAATGACCACTTCATCTGCGATGACAGACGTCAAGCCCATCATGTACCCAGCACTGAAACCCGGATTGAACAAGCGTCGCCAGTGCTTCCATTCATCTCCTTTCATGGTCAACAGGCTCTTTCCACCAGTGACCTTCTCAATGGGGTCGATTATGTCGAGCCCTTTACCAAGAGCCAGGCTATCGAGCTGCGACGCCGCGTCAGCGTCTGCGAGAACCATCATGGTGCCGCTAAAAGGCCAAAGACTCAAGTAGAAGATGCCATTGGAATAGTCTTCTGATATCTTCCACATGATGTTGTGGATGATACTGTCTGAAGGTAAAGTTCCCATGATCCGTTTTATGAGTGGGAAGTGTCCGCCTAGGGAAGAGTAATACGGCATTGGCTGCAGCGATTATTAACACAACTGGTATCTGGACGAAGCTGGGTTTTCCTACCAATCCTGCTCGCTGCATTCGCCATATCGTCTGACGCGCAGCATAAAACTTCACACAGAAGTAGACGAGCGCCGCGACGCATGTTGTGATTGCCATGGACCAGGGTCCCCCGGCCATGTCCAATGCTGACACCATTGTATGAAGTTCTGACGACCCAGCTGAGATGCTGGCGATGAAGCTGATAAAGCTATACTTGTTGCATGGGCCGGAGCGCAGGCGGAAAGAAGTCGTCCATCCGTTTAGGAAGAGATTCTGTCGATGGTTTACGAGGTCTCACTACTTGAGGCCGAATATGGAAGAGGTTGGGCTTTTTTTTTTTTTGCGGAACATGAGGTGAGACAACCCATGGTGATGTTGAACTTTGATGTCAGCAGAACGCCCTTTCGGGGAAAGCGTCCCCGCTAGCAACATAAGTTTGAAAAGCAACATCTCCATATCCCCATGTGGGAAGATGTCAACCGTCCGCGATGCAAATAACGAGGTAGGCATCGTCATGTAATTTTGAGTCCTTATGCCCGACTTTTAATTGCTGACATTAATGAGGTAAACGTCCTATTTGAGGAACTATCATTGGTTTGCTACCAATCATATCCGTGTTGTAGTCTCAGTTCCATGTAGTAAACTTATCTGTCCTTACAAAAACTCTCGCAGACTCTGATCTGCACCGGCAAAGTCTTCGAAAACATGCCAGTGACCCACGTTTGGCAACACAACCTTGCGAGAACCATTGATCTTCTGCACGTAGTCTTCAACTACCGCTGGTGAAGATACCGGATCGTCTTGTCCCGTAATCAGCAGGGTTTCCGTATCAAGCTCTCCGAGGCCAATGGCATCAGCCGAAGCAAAAGCCGAACATGCCTTGGCGTAGGCCTCTGGGTCTTGACCCGCGAGACTGAGTCGCACAGCAGTCACTGCCAAGGGGTTGGTCTTCTTGGTATGACCTGACACTTGGGTCGCGACTACATCCTCAATAATCTTGGACAAGCCCTGAGTTCTCGCGAGAGCCGCAAAATTGACCAACTGATCCTTGATCGACGAAGGGAGATGCAAGGGGGGTGGCCCGAATAAGATCAGTCTTTTGACATGTCCAGGATGGGCGAGGGCGTAGTTGATGGCGATCAAGCACCCGTGAGAGTGGGCGATCAGAGTTGCAGGGGATGTGCCTGAGTCCGCCTCAGCTAGACTGAAGACTCCCGAAAGATCTTGAGTAAGTGAATCGACGGTGATGGTCTCCAGAGGGTGTGTCGGTGTATGGCCATGCCCTGCGAAATCATACACGTGTACCGAGGCGGAGTTCCCGAGTTCCAGAGACGTTATCAACGGCAGCCAGTAGTCTTTGGTGCCTCCAAGACCATGGACGAGAATGATGGGGTCTTTTCCAACACCAAGTCGCTGGTAACCTGCCCCGAAGCGACCAATACTCCTGTTGAGGCCAAATTGGGCTTGCTTTGACTTCTCGCTATTATCGAGGCGAAACAGATCCATCGATCGCTCCAGGATCTTCTGTTTAGTGGGATTGATCTGCGAGTGGTCGGCGACTCTGTTTCTCAGAGTACCGAGGCCGGCGATAGTGACGGCGAGTTCATCACCGGGTTTCAAGAAGACCGGAGGGGCTTTGCCAATGCCAACACCAGCAGGCTTCAACCATATGTTGTTAGTAACATTCAACCAATACATCACAGGTCCGATAGAAGAGACTTACGGTGCCCGTAGCGATGACATCACCCGGCTGGAGGGTCTGGCCCGCAGATAGTGTTCTGATAAGATGAGGGATGGAGAAGATTAGGTCTTTGGCTGTGGCATCTTGTCGAAGTTCTCCATTGACATGAGTCTGCAAACGCAAAGACCGCCCCCAGTCCGGTAAGTCCTCCTTTCGTACAGCACTGGGGCCCTGACCAAAGGGCATCAGCCTGTATTTAGAGTTGAGAGGTGGTCAGAATACATACCATTGGGCAGAAAGTATCTGCGGATTTGCCGATGTAGAATTGCTTGTGGTCTCTTTGCCGTTCCCTGGCAGTAACGTCGTTGATGATGGTATACCCCCATACGTGATTCCAAGCCTCATCTTCTTGGATTTTGTACCCTGGTTTACTGATGATCACGCCAATTTCACCTTCATAATCAGCGCTCTCGGTGAATCCCTTGTGAATATGCAGTTCCTCTCCATTCGCTATGATTGAAGTGGCACGCTTCGTGAAAATCACAGGATGGCTTGGCAAGTCCACCTTATCAGAGCTATCGTAGCCCGAGCTGTTGAACTCCTTTGCATGCTCGATGTAGTTTTTGCCAACTGCGAGGATATCTCTCCCTGAGATAGGAGGCAGAAACTTCACATCATGAACGTGTAAGACTGGACCAGCAGCTAAGTACGTGTGTTCGCCCGCCACAATGACCTGATACAAGTTCTCAACAGCTTTCCCGGAGTTGAAGCTGAGGGGTTGAATGTTTTGCGATTCTGTGTCGAGGTGTCCAATTCCGGGGCAATTTTCACCTTGCTGTTGGAAAGCAACAAAGCTGATTGGGTGTTTGATAGTCTTCGACATGACTGCTGTTTCCGTCGTTCTAGAACTCTGTCAAAGTTTATCCAAGGGTGCGAAGCAGCAACTCGGATTTGTCGCAATGCGGATGTGTTGCAACAAGATAAGGGCACAAGTCGATGATACCATTTCCCACGAATCTCGTCATGTCCTGTGACCCACCTCCCAGCAACTCTAGCCCCACTGTTGAGGGATTGAAGAGTATTGTTCAACATCCCACCATAAAGGTTAAGGGAGTCCGATGAATGGATTTGACAGCTTTACTACCGCCATCAGTAATTCTTTTGATCTCAAATTTCGGCTTCAGCGCAGTGTTTTCTGGGTCTTTCTTTCTTAAGGCGCATCAATTCTTCAACTTCGGGTCTAACTTCAAGTCTACGTAAGAACAAATGTCAAGTTCGTCTTCGTCTCAGGGATTGGGTCTCGATCTCATGACCTGTTCTTTTATCGAATTTTGCAAGGTATTTAAACCGAGCTTGTTAATGAACTTAAAGTCTCTCAATACCCAGATATATTTAGAGGCTGAGCCTTGAATTGACCGTGTACGGTGCAAACAAACAACACAAGGCCGAAGTGGAGACATGAGGTCAGTTCTTGTTCCCGTCTTTCAGCTGACTTGAGAGGGTAAGTTACTGTGTTGGGTTATCGGGATTTCAAGACCTATTTGCCAATTATTCGCTGCATTCTCAAGTCTCGTTGATTGCTTATGTCGATCGCGGTGTCTATGCTCGGCATCCAAAGTGGACTCCCGGCATCTGAGTCGGTGTCTGGCATCGGCGTTCGCTGCAGTGACCTGTAAGTGCCCAATCGTCCGTTCGCTCTCCGTGACGGCCGATGACCTCGCGCTGCGCCGGACTTAAACAATCAAAGGTCCATGCGATGGTGTGTTAACGTGGGGTCAACGAATCCTGATTCTCCTTGAGAGTAAGCGCGATTTCGCTATTGATTTCGCTGTCAAACAAGTCAACGCTACTGGCTTTCGTCACCAAGTATCTTCCGCCGTAACTACGAAATGCTTATAAATCTATAGTACTCGCCCACTTGAAACCCAGAGACATAACGAGGCATGTTTTGTACTCCTGATCAGCATTTCGACCTTGCGGGCTTGCGTTTCACACAACGATTCGAGCCTTGATCCGCCAACAGCACCGACGCAATCATGGAACAGAACAATTCATTCGTTCTCAAAGATGTCAGAATATTCACTGGACACGAAATAATTAACAAGGGCTATGTGTATGTCGAGAATGGCATTATCACCCAAGTTGGTGCTGGTGACTCTCTTGGAGACGCAAAGGACGGGTTGCCGATCATTTCACGGCCTGGTGATACGGCAATTCCTGGGTTGATCGATGCTCATATTCATGCACTCGGCGGAGACATCAACTGTATCGAGCAGTCCCTACGTTTTGGTGTCACTACGGTTTGCGATATGCACAACGAGCCAAGCGATAACGCCAAACTCAGGCAGGTGAGTTCGGGACGCACCCCCCCTAGGAAGGGACTATCGGGATGGTCTGACTTTGCAATAGCTGGCCAGCGTCTTGGCGAATAAGTCGATCTACGCAGACTTCAAATGTGCTGGTCTGGGCGCCGTCATTGAAGGCGGATGGCCTATCCCGGTGATCAGAAGAGTCTTCGCTGACAACCCATGCGGAGATCACATCGTTGACCAGATCGTGTCGACCTGGCCCATCTTGCATAAGCCGGAGGATGCGGAACCATTTGTGAAGCAGCAAGTCGAAGAAAACGGAGCGTCTTACATCAAAATGTTCCACGAGATTGGCGACACTCTCGGCATGGAACTTCCGCGCCCTCCGATGGATATCCAGCAAGCCGTCGTCGCCGCCGCGCACAAGTATGGTGTGACCACCACAGGCCACGCCTTTAGCTATGCTGGTGCCATGGACCTTCTCCGCGCCGGAGCCGACGGGTTGAGCCACATGTTCCTTGACAGGCCACCTAGCGATGACTACGTTCAGATCATGTTGAACAACAAAGCGCACTGCAATCCAACTCTTGGGCAGTGTGCTTCACAAACAGCAGAGGGCCAAGACTTCCAGAAATCATTCTTCGAGGACCCGTTCGCCCAAATTATGCTCATCCACAAGACAGCCGGAGAGCCAATGGGGATGGCCGCGAAGCAGAAGCCCACGTCCTCTGTGCTGAATGCATATTCAAACACCAAGGCTTTATACGAAGCGGGCGTCCCTCTCATTCTAGGAACTGATGCCGCCGGTGGAGGTGTTGGTCTACCTTACGGTCTTGGGATGCACATGGAGATGCGTGTACTCATCAAAGAGGTTGGCATGTCCCCCTTGGATGTACTCAAGTCCGCTACATCGATTACTGCAGAACGATTGAAATTTCGTGATCGTGGAAGGATCGAGAGCGGTAGAAAGGCAGATTTGGTATTGGTTGAGGGCGATGTCCTCAGTGCGTTGTCTCTGAGCAACGGGAGGTGCCTTCCCATCAAGGCAGTGTGGAGAGACGGCGTGCTCGCATCCAGCTTCGCCGTATGAAGGTCTCTCTCTGCTTTACGAATCCATGAGAAAGATATCTGTTTGGTGGTTGTACTAGGGCATGGAACCTCCAAGTCATCTTCAGTATCGCAGGGGCTGTGAGTGACACAACAAAACAATACATAGAAAGCGCAACCTTGTATAATATTTCTCAGATTTCAGATTGACAATTGAGTCTTGGCGTCATTAGTATCTTGTCTCTTGGTGTGGAAATGGCAATAGCGGCTATCGCCCGCAACCCGACCATCGTTGTAGGTTGAGCCAAGCCATCAGATGAAAGACTGATTTGCTGTGTTAAGCTAATTGCAGATGCGCCAAGTCTAATCTATCAATAATTCTGGATTTGAATTCTTAGTTTAGGTAGTCGAGAAGTCAGTAGCATGGGGTCCCTAAGGCGTGCGTAGTAAATAACAGGGCAATGCTCTCGGTCGCCTACTATGATACCATTGCAGTGTATGGATGGGTGCATTATGTAGAGAGACACAATAGTATTGAATTTCTTGGCGTTCGTTTACGAGTTTCTAAGCTTCCCTAGCACTACAGCATCGTACTTAGCTGACCGGGCATGAAATCGAACATTGTGGGGCCTTCGGTATCCTGTGAAGGAAATTGTGCCACGGAATGATCAGCCTCTCAAGTTACTCAATCCAGATCTTTGTCATCTTGTTACTGCTGCTGTCCGCGCTTGTATCGCCATTGACACTTATCTTATTCATTTCTTGATTGTTCTTCTGAAACATGACTCGAGAAGCTTAAGAAAGAGACAATCAGGAAACTCATAATAATAGGAAAGGAAACGGTGGTAGCGGCAAAAGGACAGGGCACTACAACGGCGCCGCTAGGCGCCACAGGGGGCTGACGCGGTGGGCTCCATTGCGGCCTCCGCGGAAAGGGCTAGCCGTTCGCCAACAACTCATCGTGCCGACTTCACTCATATTCTACCCATCTTCCGATAATCAACCCGATGCCATCAACACAAAGAGACGCTCATTTAATCTGAGCTGTAAGTTGGAGCCCTGGTTGATTAAGACGAGATTGTAGCAGAGCCGTTGCAGTACCACCCATACCAATGCCATGCGGGCAGCTTGATCAGCGACGTGCTGGGCACCGCTGCGCGTCTTGCAAGAGGTTGCATGCAAAGGTTTGAGCCCCTTTTACAACTGTCCAAGTGAGCGAAACTAATTCTGGTCAGTGCAATGGTGGCCGCCCGTGTTCAAATTGCGTAGTTCGTGGCCTAAAGTGCGCCTCAACGGGACCATCAGCGGGCTTTCAGTTTGTCCAGCAGCAAGCATCTTCAGTCCCTAGGGCTTTGGTACAAGACTCTTGGAAATACATCAGCACTTACTTCCAGTCGGTCGGATGCTTGACGCAAGCGTCCGTAATGCGAAGCGCCGATGTGACGGCACTCTCCCATCGAGACGAGAACGTCAGTCGCATGCTGTCAATCATGGGTGGTCTTTACGCCTGTCAAAACCCCCAAGTATTGCGCGTAAGCCAGAAAGAAAGAAAGACACTCTTAGGTACATGGGTGAAACAAAAGGCTTTGATGACGACGGAGTTGAAGAAGCCTGACCCATCGTCCTTCAGCTCAGTTTTATTCAGTACCCTCCTTTTGGCAGTGATCGAGGTGCGTATCCAGGTCTCTTTTCACGTATTCATTAATTATAGGCTAATGATACAAAGCTAGTTCTTTGTGCCGAAGATGGTGCCTTCCAAAAATGGCTGCAAAGAATCTCGAGCTACATTGCACAACATCTGGAAGCAAAGAGTTACGCCGGCTTGACTACGTTTGAGAGAAGTTTGATCCGCTTTTTCAATTTTCTCAACACGCTTTCCGCCATTGCCCTGAACGAAGAACCGTTGGATCGTCAGATGGACTTTGAGCTTTCATCGTCGCGCCCAATCGCACCTAGAACTATTTCAGACGAAGACAAAATAGACGATATGCTCTCATCCCTTAAGCAGTGGGCTAAACTACAGTCAAGGTAAGCTCCTGAACTCATCATCGTCACAAGATGCGCAAAAGGCTTGGTACAGAGGTACTCACTACCTTAGGATGGTCGAGTGGGCTCTCAAGTTAGAAAAGAGCACCATGACATTTCAATTTGATAAAGATAACTATCGGGAAGCCATAGACCTCAAGGTACAAGGCCTCGATATCATCTGTGAGGCATCAGCTCTTCAAGCTCGAGTCATCAACGATCTCCTCCGACTGTCAGAAGAACCCGATAGCCAGGTCTCTATCTGCATTACTCCTTACTATCATTGGACTCTCACTGGGCTGTCTCACCGCCTGTACCACGAAGCCTGGAAAACACTCAAGTGCGAGCTCCCGGTGTTGCCGGCCGAATCACTCCATCAGCAAGCACTAGTCACGCTTAGCTGCGTTGAGACGCTTGCCAGCCAATCAGGCTTTGATGTCGCACTTTATCTGCCTTTTGCCGACTTCATAGGACGAGAGATGGAAACGCCGACAGAGCAAACTCGTGTGCTTGCGTTCCTCGAAATTGTCAGATCTCGTGGCTTTGGACTGGCAAACGAATACAGGAAAGGCTTGCTAGAGACCTGGGGAGCTGCCACGCCAGCTGAAATGTCTCAAAACTTAATGATATGTGATCCGAGCCGTGGAGGTCCCGAAACTTCGGGCAGAGACTGACAACAATACGACATCTAGACCTGAAAGGGTCATAGAACTCAGCCTTGTGCCCCTCAAAATATGGCTATATTGGGTCAACATGCAGTTAAAATAAGACTCGAAGCAGCCGGATCAGCATTGGACAGACTACGAAATATGTGGAATTTGATGTCTCACAACCTTGGAAAGATGTCTACTGATTCTCACCAGTCCTCACTGTTTATTTATAGACGAGACTCACTCATTCTACACGAAGGTCAGAGTGGAATGTTACTTCTCATCGCACTCGCCATGTTACTCTCCTCCTCCGGCCGACGGAGCTCGAATTTATGGGTCTACGGACCCACCGGTGCTGTCTACTCGGAAAGAGCCCCATATTTAGCTAGCGCCGCGAGATTTTGTCCTAAAATGGCAAGATTGGCTAGGATGTCAAACGTCAGACTAAACCCGTCACCGCTCTCTGGGGGTTCGATATGAGTCTATTTCACTCTGGCTTTTCTACCGTATTAATATTTACCAGAAAGTCTTCGTTAATGGTTGCTTAGGGGACTCTCTACCACGTTAACCGGGCGGAGAAGATTTTGGCCAAGCGTTCCAAACCCAGAACTCTTGTGCCCACGTTAGTGGTACGCCAAATGACACTTTGATTTTGTGGCAGAGTTGACTGGGACAAATCATGTCTAAAGGAAGTGTGCATAAGGTAACTGTTGGCGAGATCCCAATGAAAACCAGCGGATTGGCGGCTAGATTAGATAGCTCAGGCCTTGTCAGGCCATGGCAAGTTGCGACTAGGCACATGTAGGATGTGGGCCACGGCGGAATGCGTCTAAGCCACGTTCTGACGCGATGAGCGGACTCACTGCACCTGTGCGAGGCGGACTTGGTGTGTCGGACACCCTTTCTGCCCGATTCCTGCGGAACACCGGGGAGCTGGGTCATTGATGACTGAGTAGACTCTAGATGCCGATTTTTCTAAATCCCGTCCCTTGGCATGAGGTGAGATTTATAAAACTTCCTACGCGCCGACTCGCCCCGGACTGCGGAGCCGCCATCACCACCCTAAGTGCCCAACTCGTTTGTATTATTGTCATCAGCTTCACTCCGCCGGTGCATCGTTCAGAATGGCTGACTTACCCAACGGCCTCATCGCTTTCGGACCTGAAGCCAACTGCACACTCGACCTTTGTCCGATAGAATGGAGTATTCTTCGTTACCAGCCTTCTGTTCCCGCTAGCGGCACCTTCATTGGGTTCTTCTCTTTAGCCTTGGCTTTACACGCCCTTCTGGGGTTCAAGTGGAAAACTTGGGGGTTCACAGCAAGCATGATCAGTGGCTGTGTTTTGGAAATCGTTGGCTACGTTGGGAGACTCTTCATTCACGATAACCCATTTGACTTTAACGGGTTTCTCATGCAAATCAGTCAGTTTCTGCCCTCCTTAGGGAACTCTGCTTGAGTTGCCTGGTTCACGTGAATGATCTTAGAGCTAAAACCTTTTTTAGTTTGCATTACAATAGCTCCGGTCTTCTTCTCTGCCGCCATTTATGTTACACTTTCTCAGACGTAAGAGCTTCCAGAATACTCGTTGCCTAAGCTTTGGATACTGAGTAGGCCTTCCTTAAGCATCAACTTCCTCGATCGATCGATTTCCCGATTTCCACCTCGCCTCTACTACTGGACATTCATCCCGATAGACATTGTCTCCTTGATTCTCCAGGCTGTAGGAGGCGCGATGTCCTCTGTCAGCACGACGAAGGAGGCTGCGGACCGAGGCGTCAAAATTTCACTCGCTGGACTTGTGTTACAAGTAGTCTCGCTTGCGGCGTTCTGCGGACTTTTTGGAGACTACATGATCGCTTACAATCGATCGAAAACTCGTCCTCCGATGAGCAGGAGACTCGTGGTCTTCCTAACTTTCCTGAGCCTTGGTACCATGTTTGTACTGCTGCGTTGTGTCTATCGAATCGTGGAGCTGCATGAGGGCTACTTCAGTCACTGGTTCCGAGACGAAACACTGTTTATCGCGTTAGAGTCAGCGTAAGTGACCCTTTTCTATGTCTGACAAGAGTGAGTGCTGACATTGCCTAGCGTTATGGTTCTAGCCGTTTTTTCTTTGTTAGTCGGACACCCAGGACTTGTATTCAATAAGAAGGAGAGAGAAAGACTTGACGCAAACAATGCGCTCAATCCAGAGTCAAGCGAGGGCGGTGGTAGCAATGATAAACCCGAGAACAATGCGGTCATGGATGGGAGCGATACTTCAGTCAAAGATCCGGCGCCAGCAGCAGCTAGAGAGAAGTCAGCCTTGTCCGCAAGCGTCTAGAAGGCAATGTGTCACAAGTAGAAGTTATAGATGAGACCAAGAGAAGGGCAGCACGTTGGTAGAGAAGAGACATACAGGATAGAAGTAATTGTCTTGCGACTACTATATATATTAATGACACTTGCTTTAGTATACTGCCTTCACTTAGCACCAGATGCGACGTGTTCTTGAAAAGCTTGCCAGGTAACCAGTGACCAGCTTTCCCATCCCCATGTCAATGTCAGTGTATTAATTTTCTTGCAACGCATGCACGGACGAGCGACAATCATCCGAACATGGTCATGTGTCGAGCCTTGACAAAGATGATGGTTCCTCGGGCTCTCAGTCTGATGCCTAAAATCGGTCATTGTTAGCCTGAATCTAGGTAGAATCAGCTACTGATCTAAATCGGCCGACCCACCAAATCCTTTGCCACAATGAATAATATCGTCCAGCAGAAAGAAATTTAAGAATTTCAGAATCTCAGACGGTGTAGGTGCATTGAGTTCCATGCCACAATCCTGGAAGCTATTCAATTATTAGGTCTGCTATCAATAACACATCATATTCTTTAGAGGCCCTTGAAAAATCGTAATGCATTCACCGCTCGAAGCTTTCTTTGTTTATTCACCTTCGTTCCCCATGGTAGACGGGGACTCAACTTGTGGTAGGTACTCCTAGTATATCAAAAAAAAAGCACCATTGTCTCTTTCGATCTCGCCGGATTGATTTCTAGGGGTATACACTCTTCTATACCATTTCATGAGCAGTAGACATGATAGGAGCCCAGCTCAGAGTCTCGAGCTGTGCAAGGTACCAGACTAATCATGTTGATTTCGCAGTTTTGCAAATCTTGTTGCACTTTCCGCTGCTAAATTAGATTGCTCGATGTGACCTTTCTATTGATCCTTAGCAGCTACTACGTTTTTATACTTGTCGTTGAAAGATCCACGGCGATCGGCATGACTTGGTGGAGGTGTTAGCAATATCATGCCTCAATGTCGACTACCAAATCACTCACGTCTGCGCGTTCGAGCTCGCTGTGCCAGCCAGTGGTGCTAGGATCTGGTGGCTTTCGACGCTGTACTTAAAGCCATTGTTTGTGGTGCCATTGGGAATCTGTCCAGGGGGATAGGGTCTTCTTAATCCTAGCGGGTGAGCTGTGTTTTTGTATGTGGTGTTTGATGCCTTGGCTTCTGCGTGCGCATGCTTGTATGCAGTGTACTTCGTGTGAATCATGTGATCTGGTATATATTCAAGTTTGCCGTCGAGACTGGAGTACCTCTTTCGAAGTTTGTTAACGACTTCGTGGTCTGGTATCAAGCTCATGGTCAGTCTGAGCTATTATGGGGTGTAATGTGGCTGAAGCTCCGGTAGTCCATAGTCTTGCTGATAAGCCGCGAACAGTGATTTGAGGAGGTAAGTCTGCAGCGGACTGGCAATAGAGACAGAGATATTAAATATCCAAATGCGTGTTTTCTCAAAAGAAGGAGACAGGACGCGAAAGCTGCTGACAAGTTTACACAGCCACTCGCCATGAGGGTGAAAGGGAGTCGTTGACTTGAGAGCTGGAGAAGGTCCTGTTGCCATGACTTTCACCTCAGTGAGAGGCGAAGGCTAATAAATAGAGCTAGATAAAAGCATTGTACTGAATGTGGCTGTTGGCAACGGTCTATTGCACGCTAACTGACAAGCATCACTGTGATAACTGGTAAGTGAAAGAGAACCTAGCTTTGGGGGTATCAGTAGATGAAAACAGGTCTGTAGATTTTGTCATGATCAAACACGTGACGGCTCGTAGACAAGCAATAGGGCGTTATTCGCTTCTCAGCAGCTGGCGGTCAGTTTGGTGGTCGGTGAGGTGAATGCCGTCAAAGAAGTGAGCACCTGGGTCACAATACGAGATAAACTTCCTTCCCATCACTTCTTCACCCTTGCCGCTCACCCAAATTCCCTTTTACATCACTGAGTCTTGATATCCCATTGGCCTTCTCTCTCTTTCCCGCTTCCTATCTTTTTTTTTTTTTTTTTCGTTTTCGCTTCCTAGACAGAATCGCGGTCGTAGATCGTGGCTGACGTGAGAATGCCTTCGATTGCAGACATTCCTTGCGAGCTGGTGTCATCCATTCTGCGAAGCCTGGACGATTTTGAGACTCTTACCTCAGCTTTGCTCGTATGTCGCCATATTTATTCCTCCTTCAAGCAGATCGCTGGCACTGAGTTGGCCATTCTTCGTCGGAAAATCGGGATAGACCTACTCCCATATGCCGTCGCGTCTTTGGAAGCCTCAAGACTAAAGCCAAGCCCAGGTGATGATGGTTCCATCCGCGCCTTGCTCGACCTACTCTACGATGACCCTTCACAATTGGTGGCCAGAACCGCTTCGATACCTTCAGAACTCTTGCGAAGCATGTTGCGCAAGCATGACTGGGTGACTACTCTAGCACCCAGTTATGCGGCAGAAGCTAAAATTCACCTCTCCTCTGACATCGCAGCATCACCAGAGGCCGTCGATCTGTCTCCTTCCGAGTACATCCGCTTCTGTCGCGCCTTCTATCGCGTCGACTTATTCTACCTCCTTTTCGGCGCGGTCGGGAACTTCAACGGATTGTCCGGAACGGGGAACTTGCTCTTCCACAGACATCCGTCGTGGGTGACGAACAACTTGGCTGCGTACATGACTTCATTGAGGCGAAGTTTCTTGAAGGTAAGTTGCTTGGGTACCACAATCTGTTTCGATTCATTCACTCGTATATATTTGACCAGCTTCCATCGACGTCCTTGCCCACGATGTCACCTTCGGCGAATATGAGATCGACTATTTGACGACCAGCGGAGATAAGATGATGATACATTCATGGGTTAGTACTCTCTACCAATCGTGGAACTGAATACGTTTCTAGTATGCGACTGTATTACTGACTGTATGTCATAAAGCTCTCTCGCGGACTCGACTTCCTCCGTCGTTTGATATTGAGAACGTCTCGAGAGTCTAAGAGAGTGCTACTTGAATCGGCATTCAATGCCGGCACGACTAATCTTCCCGATGCCTTGGGGTGTATCATGGATGACCATGCTTAGAACAACGCCGACTTGGAAGACTTCAGCGCATCTGAGCTTGCGACGATAATTCCCGCTTGCGAGAATATTTGCAACACGGACAAGGGGCCTTACCCAGGTTGGTATGCGGCCAACACTTTTGTGCTGCCGCCTTGCTGGGTCTACAGACCCGAGAACAATTGGCTGAGCATACGTGCATACGTCTTTTGGGATTGGGTCTACGTTCGAGAGCCCGACGTTCTGAAGCTGTTTGTCATCGCCAGAGATGAAGACGATGGTCCTTCCGCTGAAGCATTGGAGGAGATGGAAAAATCCTTCAAGCAGAGATCCTTGATCTGGCAGACATCGACCATGACGTCTTGGAGCAAAGGATACACCGGCCACAATCTTTAGCCAGGCCAGTAGCGGGATGCTCAATAGCATGTCGCAGGTTCTGATGGTTTACCAAGTATGTAGCAAGGCAAGAAACCATAGATCATGAACATGAAATCCAAAAGATAATCTCCTGTGTATCGCGCAGCTTCCGATCACATTTGGGTTGAAACGACGGCTTGAGAACTAGGAGATGAAATCGACATGTCGGAACTGGCCATGGTCAAGCAAGCAAAATGTCGCATGCAGTTGAGTTTGGTTCAGAGAGGTCTACACATCGGACGTGGGTCCGGACCTTCAAATCGGAATGAGCTTAGTCATGCACCGGTCCTCGGTGAATTGACCCCAACGTTCACCGAGACAAGAAGCTCCCCAAAAAAGCCCACAAGCTACATGAAACAACGTCACCGGCTGGCCATTGCAGCCACATGTCTTCTCATATCAAGCTCTCGCGGCTAAATCTGCGGCCATTGAGCTTAAGATGCAGCGCGCAAGCTACGCGACAGCAGAGACGATCTCACCATGACTTCAACCACTTTGTGTGCCGGTCAGGTACGAAGCAGCTCACCCATCCCTCCTCGATTGTGCCAGAGCTAATAGGAAAGCCGCAGATGCCTCCGAAGCTGCACTCCAATCGCCGAACAAATTCAAGTTAGCGGTAAAGGACAATATCGCGACCGAAGGGCTGCCGACAACATGCTCCTCCGCCATCCTCTCCTCCCACAAAAGCCCCTACGAGGCCACCATCGTGCGCCAGCTCCGGAAACGAGGTGCTCAAGTCGTAGGGAAGACAAACATGGATGAATTCGGCATGGGATCCCACTCGCTGAACTCGATCCACGGGCCTGTACTCAATTCGCTGTCTGCGACGCCGATCTCTGCTGGCGGAAGCTCAGGAGGCAGCGCGGTTGCGGTTCAGACAAGCGAAGCGGACGTCGCGCTCGGGACGGATACGGGCGGTTCAATTCGCCTTCCTGCGGCGTACTGCGGTGTGGTTGGATATAAGCCCTCCTATGGCATGCTGTCGAGGTTCGGGGTTGTTCCGTATGCGAACTCCTTGGATACCGTTGGTCTGCTTGCTAGGGATGTTGATGTTATCGAGGATTTGATGTTCAGCACGGGACTGGACGCGGAACATGACTCCCAGGACCCGACATCCTTGTCAAAGAGCTTTCGAAAGAAGCAGCAGAGTCAAGCGGCCACTGGTCGGTCACGGCTACGCATCGGCATTCCTCTAGAATACAATATCGAGGAATTGGATCCCAAGATCAAAGCAGCCTGGTCTGACGCAGCAGACCTTTTGCAGAAATCCGGCATAGAGGTGGTTCCGGTATCATTACCGTCCACAAAGCACGCTCTATCAGCATACTACGTCATCGCACCGGCAGAAGCATCTTCCAACCTCGCCAAGTACGACGGCGTCCGCTACGGCACCCGCGGCGACGAGAGCGATGGCGCTGGCGAGGTCCTCTACTCCAAGACTCGCGGTCTTGGCTTCGGCGAGGAAGTCAGACGCCGCATCCTCCTCGGCGCCTACAGCTTGAGCTCCGAGGCAATGGACAACTACTTTATCCAAGCCCAGCGGGTGCGCAAGCTCGTCCAGCGAGACTTTGACCGCGTCTTAAGGCTGGAGAACCCCCTCTACGACGAACAGCAGTTCGACTTGAGCGATATGAAGGATGAGGTCGAGCTTCAGGATAAACTCGGCCCTTCGCAGGTGGACTTCTTGTTGTGTCCTACTGCGCCGACGTTTGCACCGCGTATTGAGGATATCAAGCGGCAGACACCAGTGCAGGTATACATGAATGATGTCTTTACAGTGCCGGCCAGTCTCGCTGGGCTGCCGGCCATCAGCATCCCTGCCAAGATCAAGTCGGAGGATGAAGAGGTGGACGGTAGCCGGCGTGTGGCGGGTCTTCAGCTGATCGGTCAGTACTGGGATGACAAGCGGTTGCTCAGCGTGGCCAAGAATCTCCTTAGCCAGTTACTTGCTTGATCATAAGTCAATCGCCAGAAGGCTGGCAAGCACTGTGTAAGAATACGCGTCGCCGTGTGAGAGGCGGCGCTCTGGAAAAGTGTACTGTACAGTAGAATACAAATGGAATATACCCTGGGGGATCAGCCCACCCACCCTTTCATCCGATACCTCAACGCCACGAGAGAAGCCCCTATAGGTCTACTCACTTCCATTCTCGTCACCAGCACAGCAGGCGCCCTCTAGGTCGGGGGTCAGGTCAAACTGTGGCGTGGGTGGTGGAATGGTTAATGGTCACCAATTATTCACGCCAACCAGCCTACTCGACGACAGGCTTAGCGAGTACCCGAGTTCGAATCCCAGCATGAGCGCCAGAGATGTAGCCCCCAGTTCAGCACCGGGGGGGTGAACTCTTTTGTCTTTTGCATCTCTAAATAATTAGTCATTATTGTATTATACGTTGATGAGATAGAGATTCCTCGAGCACTAAAGTCCATCTGCGTCATACATTCAAACCATGCTTTTGTCTATTTCGTACTCTGCTCGGTAGGAGCGAGAGATTGGGTATCATTCTTCGCCTTCGCCATATACTCAAGGTGACCGGTTTTTGCTTCTAGACCTCGATCTGGACCTCGACCTTTCCACATCCATCGGCTCCCCAGCAGTGCTCCTATCCTCTGCCACCTCCCCTTCCGACTCGTCCGCCCCATTCGCTCCCGCATGCTCCTCCTCATTGTCTTCCTCATCATCCAGGAGCTCGTCAATATCGCCCAACGGACTAATCCTCTCCTCAAGCTCGCCCAAATCCACCAAGTCAACCCTTTTAGGCAACTCCCTGAAACTCGTCGCGCACACCCTCGTCTTGGTCAACAAATCATCCACAAAGTCATCCATAAACGTCAAACTCGTTCCCGCCCTCCCCTTCCTCCTCAACTTCCTCCGATCCTCCAAAAACGGCTCCAGCAACAGGTACACGTCCTTCGCCTTCCTCGTCATGCGCACGTAGAAACACGCCAGCGCGCGCAGGTACTTGAACTTGTCCCCGCCGAACCCCAGGTACGTCTCCAGCACCTCGTCCGACGGCGCGAGCTGCAGTAGCTTGAAGGCGAGGCACAGGAACGGCGTGGGCTTCTGCGTGACGCCCGAGGTGCCGCCTATAAACGTGACGTGCTCCACGACGCGGTCGACGATGTCGGCCTCGTTGACGGCGAAGCACTGCTCTTTGTAGAAGTAAGAGTCGATGATGCGCTCGCGGACCGCCTTTTCCATGATTGTCGCCGGGTTCTCGCCGTTGGGGGCTAGGGAGGCTGAGGAGCCGCGTTCGTCGAGGAAGCGCCGCTCGTCGGCGTAGACGAGGTCGGGTTTGCTCATCTTTGCGATTTGTGTCTCTTTTTTTTTTTTCGGTGAAAAGGGCAATACGGTGTCGTCGTCGAAGTTACGGTGTACGGCTTTGCGAATCGATTGTGATGCGGGAGGCGTCGATGGAGATTAGGATTGAGTGGAATTGAAAAGTCGCGATTTGTCGAGGGTAGCTCTTCGGGTAGTGGGGTGGGCAGTGATGCGACGGCAGCTTTCACGAGTGACGCAGGTTGGAAAAGTTGGGAGGTCGTTGCCGAATTGAAAAGGCGCTTATCGATTGTTGCCGTGCGAACCAAGTAAACAGCCCACTACCAAGTTCACGCTCACGCCGCGCACCTCTAACGACTGCGACGCTGGCCAAGGGTGAAAAGCCGACACCATCATCGAAGCTCTAAATCATCCTCAAATCATTCAAACCATCTATGAAACTCTACTTGAAGTGTTGAAAATATCAAAAACGACCATATATTCATCACAAAATTCCACAGTTTGCTGCCATGGTGCTCCTCACCTCGTCCCAAGTCTCCGTCCTCATCTCCTCAGCCATCGGTAACACCCGCCCTTCCCCCCGTTCCCGCATTCCAGTCCCGCACTCCCAAATCAAACAGAACAAACAGGCTAACCTCAGCAAATGCGTTCCTGCGCGCGAGGCGGCAAGCCGCGTTTGCGTGCAAACGCAATTTCCGTAAATCCAACAGTCGTCTCATGTACCGCGGCCCTCTTTCTTAGTGGCTACGTAATCCAGCAGCGCACGCTGAGCCAGCTGCGCCAGGCCATCAAACCCGAAACGCGACCCTCTCCAAAGGCGTCGTACTACGTGCCCGAGCATCTCAAGGACGTAGCAGGCAACGGGCAGAATGTGCCGCTCTACGGGGGCGCGAACGGGAAGCAGGAGCAGATCATCATCGAGGTGAACCCAACGGTGCCCGACAAGCAACAGCAGGAGCAGCCGCAGCAGCAATCAAAGAAACAAAAGGCCGGACAAAAAGCAGCAGGATGGACGTCCGACATGTGGCAAAAGATGATGGGGCCGTCGGAAAAGGAGGATAAGGGCGGAGTCAGCAGGGAGGACTTGGAGAAGATGGACGAGAGGGAGAGGAATATCAACGGGTGGAATGTCAAGGACCAAGCGAACCCGGACCCCGAAGCGTCGAACCAGAAGCCCATCAGCCGGGCCGAGAGACGGCGTTTGATCAAGGAAGAGCTGAGGCGGCTGTCGGAGAGCGAAGAGAGGGTGTACTACCAGCGACGATTGTGGTAGACATGACGTTGGGATGGGATATATATGGGACATGAATTGCGGTTTCCATGAGTATACATATGGGAACTTTGGCGTTCTTGAATTTTTTGGGAGATTGATTATGAGGGATGTTAACGAATTCGATATATATAGGTCGATTATGAATACTCATGTAGATAGGAGACGTCGCATCGGAGCAAACGAAACTAAAAGACGTTGCTGGACCCGATCAATATGAGCGTTTATATTGATGTGCCGAGAGGACTACTTAAAACCCACATACCAAACGATCATTTTCGTCAAAGCCAACCCCACCACGGCCCGCGAGCCGGATTCATGACTTCGTCAGCGTTGTTGAATCATCATGTCTCTCCCAATGTACCCTGAACGCCAAACCCCAAAGTAATGCGATTTCAAACGCAGCCAACGCCTGTTCTTTTCCTTCATGCCGACGAAGCTTAAGCGTGGCGGTTGGCGGCATCTTCAAACGCCTCTCTCTGCATTCTCTCCAGCTCCTCAAGGGGAATCTGGCTGTTTTGGAACTTGTTTGCCTTCTTTTCACGGCCCTGTATAGGTTGTCAATGACCAAATGTTCTTGTGTGTGTGATTGTGTGCTGGGTGGCCCAAAGTCTCGACATACCTTTTGCACTTCTTTGTGCTCTGCGGCGGCCTCTAGCACGGCCGGGACGTAGTCTGCGAAACCCAGTTGCTCGAGGGCCTTGGTGATGTGGTCGCACGCGATGGTCTTCTTTGCCTCCTTCTCTGAGATCTCGTTGGCTTCCGAGGAGATGAGGGTGATGAACTCGACGCAGCACTCAATAAGCAGGTCACGAGCCTCCTTGGCGAAGGCAACGCCAGCTGAGGGCGGCAGAATCTCGGTGACGATCTTTTGGACGGTGGCTGTGTGGCATATTAGCTTGAAATTCTCCGACGAAGTGGGGAGCAAGAGATGCACCACGAGAGCAAGCATCTCTTGGGGGTGGAGTCACGTACCCTTGGGCAAGGACAAGTCATCGTTGCCTAGTAAAGTCATGTCAGCATTTCAGGTTCAAGAATCAGGCTGAGCGAACCCCGAAAGATACCCAGGCAGTATATACGCCCGTAAGTGTCCCTCACACTGAACGACATGTTGGTTGTGAGGAAGTGCAATGAGACCGTCGCATGATACAGACAAAGCTGCGTCATGCAACGTCATTTACATGGACCATCGGTAGGATCGGGGTGCTCTTGCAGAGAATGCGCATGTCGCTTTGTAGGCCCGGCAGTGAGGACCAGGCAGGCACAAGGGCAGAGCAAAGTAGAAGCCTCATGAAGAGCGCCCGAGTGCGAAAGGAAAGGATGAACTTCACTTACCCGCAATATCGTGGTCAGACATGGTTGTGGTATGAGACGACAGTGTCGATGAAACTGGAAAAGTTGGCTAGATTGAGAAACGTGGTCGATTTTGTTTGCTTTTCAACAAGTATTAGGCTTTGGCCTTGGCAGAGATGAGAGACTGCAGGAAAGAGTCGTGATATTCTTGTGTCGACCGTTGACTTATACGGAAATTGGTAGTTGGTGGTGAAGAAGACGCGGTGGCGGGGTGGACATGCAATTTGATTAGGTAGGCTAATCGCCGACTTTGTAGGTCTGGCTCACTCAGTCTCCGGCCGTGTGTTTGGTGGGGTCTTTTATGCTCCTTGGGATGCGGGACATCGAGTGCATTTGAACCCCCCGCGCACCTTGAGGAAGCAGGGGCCACTGAGCCACAGAGTGAAGGCTCAGTCACTGCCTGGTCCCGCCTTGGTGGGGCGCACTTTTTACACCACGGTCAAATTCCATTCAGGGACGGGACAGCGGTGCGCCGGTGAAAGATACCTCCGTGGCTCCGTGATGCACGGACCAACAGACCCCAATCACTCCAAATTTTTTCTTAGCCTTAAAAGACGAGATATTCTGCGATGGTTCAGCCTCTTCTTCTTTTTCGCATCAGCAAACAGCAGAGCTCAGAAAACAGCCATGCGTTCTTATTTCAGAGCAGGCGGCGACTCTGCTGATTGCTTGGATTGAACTTGGTAGGTCTTTCCCCTTCTCTCTTTCCCGCCCTCCCCTCGATATGATGAGTCTTGTTGTCGCCCCAAACTTACGAGGAATAACTCCCCTCATAGTGGTGAATGACCTTCCTGCCAAACGGAAACGCCTGATCTGTCACCATGAATCATTCTTTCTCTGCAGTTCTAGCCTTTAGATCGGATTGCTAACAATGATTTCAGGAAGTGCAAGCGCTTACTACCAATTCAATCGATTCACTGCTATGGCCGAATGAGCCAGCAACAATGGACAACTCTAGATACTGAACAGCCGAGTCGCACGGCTTGAGAACCTGGGTGCCAGACCATGTCTGCTATTGTGTCGGTTATTGCGGGCTTTGCTCACCATATCA